TAAAAGATCCGTAACATGAACTTGACAATGGGAGACTAGACTAGTGGAAGCACATGCACAAAGGAGAAGAGCTCAATTAAGTAAAAGATCCGGAATATGAACTTGACAATGGGAGACTAGACTAGTGGAAAGCACATGCATAAAGGAGAAGAGTTGAGCAAGGTAAAAGATCCGGAACATGAACTTGACAATGAAGACTAGACTAGTGGAAAACACATGCACAATGAGTAGAGATCAACAAGGTAAGGATCCGGAACATGAACTTGACAAGGAAAGATTAGACTAGTGGAAGCACATGCACAAAGGAGAAGAGTTCAACTAAGTAAAAGATCCGGAACATGAACTTGACCAAGAGAGGCTAGACTAGTAGAAGCACATGCACAAGGAGAAGAGATCAACCAAGTAAAGATCCGGAACATGAACCTGACAATGTACCAAGAGAAGGGGTTAACTAAGCAAAGATCCGGAATCTGAACTTGACAAGGAAAGACTAGACTAGTGGAAAGCACATGCACAAGGAGAAGTGATCAACAAGGCAAAGATCCGGAACATGAACTTGACAATGGGAGACTAGACTAGTGGAAGCACATGCACATGAAGGGAAGATAATCCAGATCATTACACTAAGTACGAACAAGACAATGAGTGACTAGACTAGTGGAAAGTACATGCATACGAAGGGAAGATCACCCGGAACATCACACTAAGTATGAACATGATAATTAGTGACTAGACTAATGAAAAGCATATGCATGTGAAGGAAAGGTCAACCGGAACATCACACTAAGTATGAACAAAACGAAGAGATGCTAGAATAGCGAAAAGCACATGCATATGAAGGGAGAGATCATCTAGAACATCACACTAAGTATGAACATGATAATGTGTGACTAGTGTATGTGAAGGGAAGATCAACCGGAACATCACATTAAGTATGAACAAGACAAAGAGATGTTAGACTAGATGGAAAACACTTGCATATGAAGGGAAGATCAACCGGAACATCACACTAAGTATGAACATGTCATTGAGTGATTAGACTAATGAAAAGCACATGCATATGAAG